TACATAATGATAAAAGGTTCACTCCATCAACAAGAAATATCTATCCTAAACATATATGCGCCCAACATAGGTGCACCAACATTCATAAAGCAACTTCTAGGAAAACTAAAGAAAGACATTGACTCTAACACCATAATAACTGGGGACTTTAATACACCACTCACAACCTTAGACAGATCATCAGGACAAAAAATCAGCAAGGAGATCCGGACCTCAATGAGACTCTGGACCAAATGGACTTAATTGATACCTATAGAACACTCCATCCAAAGACCACAGAATACACATTCTACTCATCACCGCATGGAACATATTCTAAGATCGACCACATAATTGGACACAAATCAAGTATAAGCAAATTTAAAAGGACTGAAATTCTACCATGCACCTTCTCGGACCACAGTGGAATAAAAATAAACATTGACACCAACAAAGTCCCCCCAAAACCCACAAAGACATGGACACTAAACAGCATGATGCTAAATAACTCCTGGGTCAATGATGATATCAAAATAGAGATCAAAAGATACCTGGAAACAAATGAAAATAAAGAAACATCTTACCAAAATCTCTGGGATGCCTTAAAAGCTGTAATAAGAGGGGAATTTATATCCCTACAAACACACATGAGGAAAATGGAAGGAACAGAAATTGACAACCTAACAAGCCACCTAAAGAAGCTGGAAAAGCAAGACCACAAAAACCCTAATTTCAGCAGAAGAATCCAGATCACCAAAATAAAAGCCCAAATCCAGGACATAGAAGACAAAAAGATAATACAAAAAAATCAATGAAACAAAAAGCTGGTTCTTCGAAAGGGTAAACAAGATTGATGGTCCCCTAGCTAGACTGACCAAGAAAAAACGAGAAAAAAACCAAATAAGCATAATCAGAAACACAAAAGATGAAGTCACATCTGACCCTGAAGAAATACAAAAGATCATTAGAGACTACTACGTACACTTGTATGGAAACAAACTTGAAAACCAGAAGGAAATGGAAGACTTTCTGACATCACACAACCTACCTAGGTTGGAACAAGAAGAAATTGAGACCCTAAATAAACCAATAACAATCAAGGAAATCGACCACGTAATATGAAAACTTCCTACAAAAAAAAGCCCTGGTCCAGATGGCTTCCAGCAG